CCCCCTTCTGTTCTGAAATGTGATTTGTCCTTTTCATATGTGTTCATTTTTTTTAATTGTATCCTTTGGTATATATGGTTGTGACAATTTTCTTCCACTATTTGATCTGAGGAAGTGGGTCTGGCCCACGAAAGCTCATCATCTAATAAACCATCTTGTTAGTCTTTAAAGTGCTACATAGTCTGTTTTTTGTTTCAGCTACACCAGACTAACACGGCTACATTTCTATCACTATATAAGAGTTGTTTCCATACTTTTAAGACATTCTGGGCACAGAAGAATAAACTCCATTCTGTGCTGCTTAACATTTTACTGAACCCCACTCCACAACCTAGTGTATTTTCATTGGCAATGATTAATCTTACAGATGATTAAAACATTACCTCCTGAAGAACCCTCTTCATTTTCAGCAGTAACGTCTTCACAGCTGTGCAATCCTGCATCATCAGTCTGAAGGGCAAAGACTCCATGCTTCCACCTTCTTCCAAGCCTGCAAAAGTCCAGTCCACGGAGGGGCTGCTGGCCACTTGGCTGACTCGAGGATACCTAATTTCTCCTTGGTCCACCTCCTTTGACAATTTCAGAGAGAGATTCCTAAGATGAGAAAATACAAAATGGCTCAATGTTACCTTTTTGGCTCACTCCCTTTATGAATATTTTAATTGGAACATTGCTAACACTGAGTTTTCACTCTCACGGCTTATATAATGAAGAGTTTTATTTATAAACACAACTAACTTTTTGGAGAATAACTTGACTACTTTTTTGAGGACCCATCACCTGAGGATCTAGCCACTATTATGTACATTTAGGTGAACTTCAGTTCATTCTAGAATTGAAACTAAACTCTCTTCCATGTCCAACTGATAAAGCCACTTTCTTACAATGTAAAGTCTAGGTGGGATTTCACTTCTAGGAATTAAACTGTTAGGGGATAGAGTGTACCCCACTTTGCTGTATGCTCACATCAAAGGTAACACAGTGAAATGGCAAAATAAGTAATTAAATGATGGACACTTCTGTCCTCAACAATTTTTTTTGTAAACTTCATGATGTGCCTTTTTAATTTGGGACCAATGAGAAACAGGAAGACAATGGTAAATGAAGCACAAACCCCAGAAAACAATAGTAGTGTGCAATATTGGAGCATTAACTAATTGTTACATTACAAAAGTGTTTCACTGGAATTACTTGATATTAGTATAAGTGGCAATATAAATAATGGTTATTATTCATTCAAAATACAGTTCACTTTTTGAACTGAACTTTTTGTTCTGTTTGAAATTTTTAAGCAACAAAAATTTAGCTGATGTTTTGGTTCTGAGTTTCAGGGTTTAGTATTCAGTGATAAAGCAAGAAAGGTAAGAATCTTCCCAAATACATTTTGCTTAATTTTAATTTTGGTTTCATAAGAACAAACATGGACCTAGTGAGGGACTTAATTGCACACCAAAGAGGGTGTATCATGGCTCCCCCTTAGGATAAGCATTCAGAGACACCTGGACACCCCAGGATGGGCATTTTGTGACTGTATGGCACTGGCTACTGCTGGCGAAACTAGGCCCGATCTTGTAGTCTCTAGAGAAATTAAGGGAGACATGGACATGTGGGAATATTTTCTGAGTCAATTTTAATGGGCTATCATATTGGAAGTTATTACAAAGGCTATTAAAAATCCACTGAGATGCTGCAAGTAGTAAGGTCCAATGGTATGCATAGAAGTGGCCTACAGGGCTGTGTGTGACATGACTTCCTTGGAATTCTTTCCCATTTTAGTTGTGGTGGCTATTTAGGAATCAGAGCTGGCTAATAAAAAGGCGCACTGCTAGTGCGACAATGTAGCAATGGTACAGGTTATTAATCACCAAACTTCCAGATTGTGTAGGGTTATGAAGTTGGTGAGGGCATTTGTTTTACCATGTTTAATCTTCAACATCTGTTTTTCCACTAAGCATGTGACAGCATTGATAATGGCATAGCAGATGCTTTGTCTCATTTCCAGTTTGACACATTTCGTAAGTTTACGGCAGGGGCTAGCATCGAACCCGACGAAATGTCGCTGGCTCTCTGGAACCTTGGAATATGATGTGGTCAGTGGAAAGAAGAATTTTGGCCCCAGGAACACAAAGACTCAGAGTGAGGTTCACCTATATAGCCCACCGTGGAGGTCCGCTGTAACAGTTGCTGGGTCAAGAACAATGCAGTGGCTGGTGTTCCTTGATGATCTTAGAAGAGACAGAGAGTCTCGCAAAAGAGCCCTACACCAATCAGGACTAGGGATGTTAAGAAGTGAGTATTTCACTAATCGTGTAGTCGAAAGAATTTTTATTGACTACACAATTAGTCAATAAAATCAATCCCAGCTCGCGCTGGGTCTGGGAGCTAACTGTGCTCCAGGCAGGCAGCCTGGCTCCTACTACATTTAAACTGCAGAGGGGGTAGGTCCTGGACCCGACACGAACCGGGACTCAGCTGGTTCACTCCCTCACCTCTGTTGGATGCGGGGGATGCAGTACCCTACGTTTAGTGAAATGGTAGAGCCACCAGATAGTGCAACTCTACTCTACAAGGAGATTTGGAAGAAAATTTTATCCTGCCACACCTATATCTTTTTGCACTTTAGTGACTTTCAATCCACAAATCTAATGTACAGACTTTTTTTTATGCCGTTTTTGCTAATAAGTACATTTCTTCCCATTTTGAAGCATTTTAATGGATTTTAAAGTACACAGGGGTAGTGGAGAATATGATTTACATTTTGAGCTGGTTCAACTTATTTTTACTTCTGATTTATTCTGAAACCAAAGATTTTGTAGAGTTTATGGTAACTTGTCTTAAGCTTCCCTTACACAAAGATTCCCAGATTACGGTAAGTTAAATCGCCTTAGTTTTCAGCAACAGTGCTCAGTACATTGACATAGTGGAATTACTTTAAACTAATACAATTGTTCCCTTAGTGTCTGCATTTCTTAATATCAGCTTAGGAGCACAGAGAGCATCTAACACTGTTCACCTCAGGAAGTCTCTACAAGGGGAGAGAAAAACCCCAGCATCTGTTGGAAGCAATAAACAAACCCTGTCTTCTGCCTGAGGGTTTATGTTCTAAAGCAAGAGCTTAGCAGAAGCCTTATATCGTATATATTTTATATTCATTGTTAAGCAGCATTTTGGTAAATATTCATTTTTTATCCAGGTTTATTTATTCTTGATCCTGTCCAGAAAGATATAACAGAAAACATATTTCTTATAATTTCAGAAAAGAGTTATTAGCTAAATACATAGGTGGCAACGGCATGATCCTGAAATGTTTTCTTTAATTCTAGCTTTATAAGTTTACATCTGTCAATTTCTCCTCTATCATATGTGTTCATTTTTTTAACAGTATCCTTTGGTATATATGGTTGTGACTATTTTCTTCCACTATTTGATCTGAGGAAGTGGGTCTGGCCCACGAAAGCTCATCATCTAATAAACCATCCTGTTAGTCTTTAAAGTGCTACATAGTCCTGTCTTTTGTTCCTCTATCTAGATTTTTTTCTGTCTCGATAACTGTAAGTATTACAGCTGAATGAGATCTTGATTTAGAAAATAAACAAATTATTAGTTCAGCATGGTAAACAAGGACATATGAGACTCAAACTAATTATAAATTTCTTTCTGGAACAATATGCCTCACATATTTACCACTAATTTAAAAAATGCAGCTCACACACATAAGTCCATAAGCACATAAAAATGCCCATACTGGGTCAGACCTACCCCAGGGTCCACCTGCCCAAGAATCCTTTCTTCCAACAGTGGCCAATGCCCCAGAAGGAGTGAACAGAACAGGTAATCATCAAGTGATCCTTCTCCTACCATCCATTTCCAGTCTTTAACAAACAGAGGCTAGGAACACCATTCCTACCCATCCTTGCTAATAGCCATTGATGGATCTAACCTCCATGAATTTATGTAGTTCTTTTTTGAACCCTGTTAGGGTATGTCTACACTACAAAGTTAACTCGAACTAACAGCCGTTAGTTCAAATTAACATTGATAGGCGCTACACAGGCAAACCGCTAGTTCGAACTTAATTTGAACTAGTGGAGCGCTTAATTCGAACTAGGTAAACCTCATTCTACGAGGACTAATGCCTAGTTTGAATTAAGTAGTTCGAATTAAGGGCTGTGTAGCCACTTAATTCGAACTAGTGGGAGGCTAGCCCTCCCCAGCTTTCCCTGG